TACAAAGGAACACCCAAAAGGCTGTCAGCTGATTTTTCAGCAGAAACTCTGCAGGCCAAAAGAAGTGGCACAACATATTTGAAGTGATGAAAGGGGAAAACCTACAACTGAGAATATTCTACCCAGCAAGACTCTATTCAGATTTAATGAAGAGATCAAAAGCTATACAGGCAAGTGAAAGCTAAGAGTTCAGCACCACCAAACCAGCTTTAAGAATGTTAAACTTCTCTAAGTGAAAAAGTAAAGTTCCCTTACTATACAGCACAGGGAACTATATTTAATATCTTATAATAACCTATAATTGAAAATAATCTGAATATATATATATATTTAAATGAATTATTTTGCTGTACACCTGAAACTAACACGATATTGTAAACCAACTACATTTCAGTTAAAAAACTCAAAAAGATATCACCTTACGCCTTCAGAACGGCTACCATCAAAAAGAACACAAATAACAAATTTTGGCGAGGTTTTGGAGGTTCTCCTATACCGCTGGTGGGAATGTAAATTGGTGCAGCCACTGTGGAAAACAGTACAGAGGTTCCTCATAAAACTAAAACTAGAACTACCATATGACCCAGCAATTCCACTCCTGGGTATTTAGCCAAACAAAAACAAAAACAAAAACAAAAACACTAATTCAAAAAGATACATGCACCCCAATATTCATAGTAGCATTATTTACAATAGCCGAGATACAGAAGCAACCTAAGTGCCCATTAGTAGAAAAATGCATAAAGAAAAGGTGTTACATATACACAACAGAATACTACTCATATATACACAACTCAGAAAAAGAATGGATTTTTCCATTTGCAACAACATGGCTGGACTTGGAGTGTATTATGCTAAGTGAAATAAGCCAGAGAAAGACACATACTATATGATATCACTTATATGTGGAATCTAAAAATAAAACAAAGTAGTCATTATAACAAAACAACAAACAGACCCACAGATTTAGGGGACAAACTAGTGGTTGCCAGTGAGGAGAGGGAAGCAGGGAGGGGATTAAGAGTCACAAACTACTATGTATAAAATAAATTACAAGGATATATTAAACGTCACAGGGAATATAGCCCATATTTTATAACTATAAATGGAGTATAGCCTTTCAAAATTGTAAATCACTATGTTGTACACCTGAAACTTATGTAATACTGTACATCAACTATTCCATAATGATGATGATGATGATGATGATGATGATGAGACTATTGTGTAACCTGAGATGTCTCTGGTTGTGGGGATGCACCATCACTTCTTTCAATTGTATAGACCTCTTGTCTACCTCTTCAGCAACCAGAACCTGATCACTCTGGACCTGGGCCAGAATTTCTTGGGGGAATAGTGGAGTGTTCAAAATTGCCCACTCTGGACACTCAGGTTAAAGACAGATGAATTTGATGCTCAAATCAAAGAGCTGACAAAAGAAACTGAAGGAAGCAACCCTCAACTGACTATTGAGAGTGATGGCCGAGATCCCAGGAAATAATACTTCTTTTTTTTTTTAAATATGGAACGCTTCACGAATTTGTGTGTCATCCTTGCGCAGGGGCCATGCTAATCTTCTCTGTATCGTTCCAATTTTAGTATATGTGCTGCCGAAGCGAGCACAATACTTCTTTTTCTGAATGTAGATATGATTTATATATATCACTTTAAATAATGCCTCTGTCCCCCCTTCTTTCTCTTCTCCTTCATTTAATTAAATGTAGATTAGCCCACCTCATTTCACCCTTTATGTCTCTGTTTTCTTTTCTGTAGAACCATTCACTCTACAGTAAAGTAACACATCTTCAAGGTGATGGTACTTCTTTTGAGCGCTCTCAGTGATGTTAGTTGCTGGGCCAGATGTTCTTTTAGCCTTGTTTGTGCCTCTGGCTTACATAAAACGTGGGCAAGTCACTTAACATTGTTATGGATGAAATGTCTACATTCCAAGTATTTTAAGTGAAATAAAGGTGAAAGCATTCATGAAAAAAAAAAAAAGGAACCGGAAATTCATTCTCTCACAGGTCTGGAGGCTAGATGTGCAAAATCACGTCTGTACTCACTCCAGACGCTCTAGAAGACAATTTGCCTTTTCCTTTTTGAACTTGACTTTTCCAGCTTCTGGTGGCTCCAGGGATTCCTCAGCTTGTGGCCACATCACTTCAGTCTCTTCACGGTCATTGTTGCTTCGTCCTCTTCTGCATATGTCTCTCTGTGTGCCTCTTATCAGTATACTTTCATTGGATTTAGAGTTCACTCAGATAATCCAGGATAACCTCCTCATCTCAAGGTCTTTAATTACATCTGCAAAGACTTTTTTTTCAAATAAGTAACATTAACAGGTTTTGGGATATCTTTTAGGGAGGTCACCACTGAACCTACTACATTATTTATTTATATTGTGAATACATTTTAAACCCCACAAGCTAATATTTTTCCTTACACAGTCATTTAAAATTAACTTCTATTCTTTTCATTCCTTGTTGCACCTTTGTGTCTTCTTCTGGGATAATTCTTCTTCAGCCTAAAGAACAACCTTTAAGTTTTCTTTAAAATGTAGCTTGGAAGCAAGCTCTCCACTTTGGCTTGTCTTTAAATGTCTATTCTGTTTTCAACCTGGAAGGAAATTTTTGTTGTGCAGAGAATTCTTGGTTGGCAATCAGTCATTTTCTTGCAGCACATTGAAGTTATCTTGCCCCTGGCTTCTGGCTATAGCTATAGCTCTTAATAAGTCACTGTCCATTGATGCATCCATGGATGTCTCTTTTAAATGGATGCTGTCAATATTTTCACTTTGATTTTATTTTCTGCAATTTTACTCTGCTATGTCTAGATTTGGATTTAGTTTTACTTATTCTGCTTGAGTTTAATTTCACTGAATATTAATCTTTTGTCAGTTCTGGAAAACTCTTAAGTCATTATTTACTTTAAATATTGCCTGTGCCCCCTTCTTTCCCTTCTCCTACCTTTAATTAAGTGTTGCTTAGAACTCCTCATTTTATATCTCTTCCCCTCTTTTGTATTTTCCATCTTCTTGTCTCTCCTTGCTTTATTCTGGATATTTTCACCAATTCTCATTTTAGTTGTGTCGATTCTGCTTATAACCCATCTAGTTCCCTCATAAATTTCTGTATTTAGCAGTTCTATCATTTCTACTGATTCATTTCCAAATTTGCAATGTATTTTGCAAACATTTTATAATTGATTCAGGCAAAAAAAAATCCACATAAATGGATGCCAAAGTTACTTGGTGAAATCTGATGAAGAACAAGATATTTACATGGACTCAAAATATCTTCTCATAGATTACTTAATAATTACAAAGGGAAAAATAATACCTTTATGAAGGAAAGATGTGGCAATGTTTTCTTAACCAAGTGATCAAACGTAACATCACCAATAATGGGACAAACTGACATCATGTAACTCCTCGTGTGATATAGTGAGGACACCACATCACTTTTGTGGCATTCTTATAAAAATTCATAACCTGAGTCTAATTATGAAGACACATCAGACAAATCCAGGTTGAGGAATACTCTACAGAAGAGCTCACCTATACTTTTCAAAAATGTCAATATCGTGAAGGACAAAGAAAAGATGAGGAACTGTTCCAGGTTAAAGGAAACCAAAGATACGTGACTAAATGTAGTGTATGATCCTACACCATGCTTAGATAAGGAGTTGGGGGGAAGTCTGCTATAGTAAACATTATTGGGACAATTTACAAATTCTGAAAAGTGAACTGGACACTGGGTAATAATCTATCCACGCTAAGTTTGCAGACTTGATAATTGTACTGTGGTTATAGAACATCCTTTTTCTTACTGAAATATATACAGCAGTAAGCAGGCCTGATATTCACAACTTATTCTCAGCTGCTTCAGAAAAAACATGATAAAGCAAAACATGTGAAAATGTTAGAAGTTGATGAATTTGCATGAAGGGTTTATGTGAATTTTCTGGTCTTATTCATGTAGCTTTTATGTAAATTTGAAATTATTTTAAAAGAAAATGTTTTTTTAAAACTTACAGTGTCAATTTTCATAGCCCCAGTCCCTGGCTAAAATTTTAAAGTTCATCTTTTATCTTCACGAAAGTAGTAAACAAGGTTGTTATGCAAATTGGGTCTAATAACTCCAGACTCTGGAGTCCTGCTGAGCTTCAGGTCAGATTTTTGTCCCTCTAGCTTGGAAGAGCCCAAAGCACAGGCAGTTCTCCCTCTCAGAGTGTAAGAGGCTCAGAACGGTGCTGCCATTAGGCTGCCAGACCAGAGTGGGAAATCCTGCCCTGGGCAGACATCTGCCTACGTTGGGTAAAAACCAGATTCAGACTCTATTCCACTTTTCCACCCCAAAGTCCACCAAAAGCATGGTTCTATCTCTCCACTGCTCCCTCCAGAACAGCAAAGTCCCAGGGCGGAAGCAATTCCAGCTTACCTCTCTGACCTCCAGTCATCACCACGATCTAGGCTAGGTGATTCCTCTCTCCTTTATTGCTTTTAAGAAACATTAAGATTTTTAAAAAATATATTAACTTTAGCTTTTCACTTGTCCTCAATAAGAGAGTTGGTCTGAATTACCTAGTTTGCCATTATTATAAAATGAAATCATGTCTACTATTCATTGTAATACAAAAGCCTTGCCTTATTTTAAAAGAAACTTGGATTGACATCACAAATGAGCCAATCACACTTCTCTTATTTCTTTGTAACCATAATTCACAAGACCCTGGAGTGAACTGAAATTTTAAACTTGCTAGCTAACTAAACTGGCTAGTTAGCTAGCTAGCTTTCAATACATATAAAGCTACTTTCTTTGAGAATTACAGCTTGGTTGGCCTAATCAGGATACTTGTAATGTAAAACTGAGCCTAGGGTCTTCAGTACTAATTTTCCATGAAAAGTTCAGCAATGCAAAATGAAGGAAGAAAGTAAGTAACTGGCTTGATAACATAATTCAACAATTACATAGCAAAGTCATACTTTAAAAAGACAATACCATTCACAGGATGTAGGGCTTCCTTCTGTATCCGTGCTGAATGGGCTGATATCATTTCCTCTTCCTTTTGCTGAGTTTTCAAACCACCATCTGCAGAGATCTTAAGCCCTGAGAATTTCCATTCAGTGTAGTTCACCTGTTTCAGATTCAAATAGAATTATATATAAGTATATTGTATAATTATAATAATCTAATAGAATTAATAAAATTAATATCACATATTATTAATTATATAACACAACAGAAATAATAATGTAATTATATAATTATGTAGTCATATATAATATATTTATAATCTCTCTATATATGTAAGATATATTTTAGGCTACATAGTAACTTTAATCCAGTTTCCCACAAAGAAAAGACAGCATCAAGCACATAAGCAAGTGTTCAATAAATACTTGTTCTTTATTTTGATTACAGTTGAAGTGGCCTGGTTAGGACTGTGGTACTAAAGCATAAGCATAAACTGCAGAGTCCATAATCTGTTGAATTAAATAACACTGAAATGAAGTGAACAGTTCAGAGGTTTATTAAACTATTCACATTTTGTGGAAACACATGCTAGCCACAAAAAGCCACGATTATTGCTTATCTTGTGTGCCTGCTTCTATCTCTGAGAATAATACATGGGGATGCTACAACCCATATTTTAGTTCTTCAGGTTTTCCAAGGCCTTACCTGTAGTGTATTTCCATTTAAGATGTTACGACTAAGATACTCCATTCTGTTCTTTCCTTGGATGCCTGTTCTTTTGCCATGTTTTCTTCTTGAGTAGGCTGCAACCTGGTGTTCCCTTTCCTTTATTTGTCCCACCTGAGGAAGTTTTCCCTTAGCTTGATACTGGCCAGTTTCAGTAGGAATCTCAGCAGATACCATCTGGTCCTAAATAGAAGGATCACAGACAGTCTTACAAGATGATAGTTTAACAGCCTTGATATGCAAGAAAGGGATTTTTGAGCTAGAAATTTCATTTCTCTCCTGCCATAGAGCTGAGAGATTTCATCTTTCTCTCCTCACCACCCAGGGTTTTGCTCCATCAATAGCTTCATGGCATTATAAGGGATGTAGATTAAATTTGCAAAACACATGCCATTCACAGAAGGAATTTCTTTTATGCCAACTTTAATAGCAGTCTTCCTCAAATCCTCTCTACAGGATTGGTGGAGATCTGCTACCTGAGGAGGAAAGGCAGCTTTTTTCTCTTCAGTTGTGGTCTCTAAACTGTCCTTGGTGTTCTTCTTACTCTTAGCTTCTGGTTTCGGGAAGCTCTCTGGGGGCAGGTAGCAAGACTTCCAATCCAAGTGCACCTGAACAGATCCATTAGGTTTCCCTGCAGGGTCAGTGAGGTTAAAATCACCTGAGAAACACACAGATTATTAATAAGATCCAACCACATGAAACAGACAAGTGAGTATCAGCACCTTATCTACTACCTCCCCATTTTGAATTTTATCATACTTCACCTGTAATTAATTAACATCATCAAATAATCATAATACTCTCAGAAGTAACATAATTTGTAAATCAAATATGCTTCAGTAGAAAAAAGTAACAAAATATCAGTAAATATCTATATCACTCAGAATATTCACTCAGAATATAAGAATATTTATAGGGGAAGACGGGCATCTCCAGGTTTCAGGAAGGGATAGTTAAAAGATGCACGAAGAGGTATAGCTTGCTTGTTGTCAGTCACCCAGCCAATAAACAAGAGCACGTTCTTATTACTGTTACCAAATGGTTGTTATGCCTTAGGAATACCAATAAAACCATTATCTACACTCAAGTGGTCCCTATTTCTAAAATAACAAAAGCTAAGAAAACTTAAGCAAAATGGCTTTTTCCAAATGCCAGACTTCTGATTAATTTAACAGATGGCTCACATTACCTCTTCTCTTTGGCAAAGAAAGAGTTGTGAACAGAAGTGTCAGCTTTTTTTTTCTTTTTTTGTTGGGGTAGGGGGCGGGTGAGCAGGGCACCTGTAATACTGGGAGGAGCGAGGCCTCACACACTTCCTGGAACAGCCAGAAGCTTGTTACACATGGTTGGTACCTGGCTACACCCATCCACACTTCCTAATGGGACTCCACTGCCTCCCGCTCCCAGGACTGCAACCAGAGAGCTGACCCTGGGGATGAACATATGATAAAATAGTACAGAGTTCAGCTCCATACTGGGAAAAGTATCCAAGAAGTCTGTCTTTGTCATGATGTGGCATGGAACTCTAACTGTGCCTAATGTTTAAAAGAAGTGAGAGAATAACAGGGGAGGATTAAGGACACAGTTTATAATCTGATACCTAGTCACGCGCTAAGAAACAATCGGTCTTAAGTAAAGACGATTACTGGGATAATTACTACATAGATGGAAAATGTTGGTTCAAACATAGAGGTATGAACTTCATATTGGTGGATCTACCCACTTGGGAATCTTGCTTCTGTTGCTGAAAAGAAGTAGAAGAAGCCAATGTTTCCATATAATCAGTGAGGTTCTAAGTCTTCTACTCTGTCGCTCTTGACAATATTTTCAAATCCCTTCAGCAGGTTTTAAGAGAGACTGTTCCAAGCAAGTAATCAAAGAGCAGAGTTAGGACAGGGAGACACCACTGGGCAGAGAGCATAAAGACGTAATAACCTTGAACTCCCACCTGTAATGGATTTGTTTTGTGCAAGAGGAAGCAAGGGCACTTGGACGTGGCCAAGGTAAGAGCCAGGCTCTGGGTCTTCATCATCAAAAATGTACACAGACAGGGCCTCCTGCCTCAGATACTGATCCAGGTCAGAAGTCATGAGCACTGGGAATCGAGCCTGGTCTCTGAAGTAGGGATTGTTACTGGCTGGGATGATGGTGGTGTCATGGTCAGAAAAGGTAAAGAAGCGATACATGGCGTATGGACTGGGTTGGGCTCCCAGCTGCCGTCGACTCCGGAGGCCGTAGCATCGGATGATTTGCACCCGCAGCTCATTCTGACGCTTGCAAGTCTCTGATCTGGACTGAAAAGATGTTGGTCTTGAATTGAGGAAGAGGGCCGGCTGAGAGAGTTGTTGCTGGTGAAGCCCATCACCCTTGATGAGGAAGAGCTATGACCTAGAGAACTGCTGACTCCTGACTGGGTGTCACAGAGAAACCTAATTAGTGACTTCCACCCGCCTGCAAACTGGCTCTGGCAGACAATTACCTGAGGGAGATGCTGGCACTCAGACCTTAACTTAGAGAATGGAACGGAGAAGCTGTTTTGTTCACCGCAGGGCGAGAGGTAGCTAGCTCCCAGGGCATGATTTCATTTCAAATTCAAGCGTGACCAAGGGAAGAATCTGGACTAGTTGTGGTGTGACAGTTTTTCTTTCATTCACATTCAACAAGTACTTATTGAGAGTGGAAGACTGAGCTGTTCTCATGAGCTGCTTGGCTGAGTCTCCTCTGAGATGCATGGGCACATCCTTTTTCTCACCTCGTCCTCCTGGGCCTCCCAGGCTCCAAGCACATTGGCTGACAGGTAGGCCCGGGCTTTCTTTCGCTTATTGTATGCCTGTAGGCTGGATCTTATGGGGAAGCGCAGCCTCATCCAGTACTCTAGCACCCCGAAGTCTTCTCCACCAGCTCCTGGGTAGCAGAAAGTACGAAAGGCATGGAGGATACAGATGGTATGGCGAGGATCGAGAATAAAGGCAGAGGAAGAAAACGGGAAACCACCAGAAGAGCAACTAGACACTTGGGACAATTCCACACTAGTCCTGGGAGCTGTGGGAAGCTGAGAGCACTTACCAATAAGTGTGACAGAGCCATGGACCCTCTCCACAGTTTCTAGCACCCTGTCAAAGCAAATCCATCCAGCTGCAAGGGTGTGGTGCTCACTGGCTATAGCCTGGTGTAGATCAAGCTGGGCTGAAGCCCCCTGAAGGTAGCACAAGAAGAGGGAATCTGTCTCTACTGCATACTGGGATGTGAAGTCATAGAGGGGCTGCGGCCCCACAGCTAGTGGGGTACAGTGGGTTTCAAAGTCATAGAAGGAATAGGTGCAGAAAGTGGTCGGTTGAGTGTCTCCAGCCTGAGCCAGGGCAGCAGATGTCAGGAAGGCCTGGTGGATGTGCAGTTCAAAAAGATTCTCACTCTGATGCCATGGAGAAATGTCCACTGTATCCTCATCTCCATGGGCTTGCAGTGGTTCCAGACATAATGACAACTGTCGGGTGCCATAAGCCACATCTTTGAGCTGTTCTAGAGGAGAAAGAAAACTGCCTATCCATTAAAGGGTACAGAGCTCTTCCTTAGGGTAAAGGAGGGTGGACAGAAGGAGAACAAAAACCATGGTGGAAGTCCAAGTGTGACTATTTCAAGAAACCATGTGATTCGAAAAGAAAATCATCAGAATGACAACTAGGCGCTTTGGATTCTGATGGTGAAATGACCCAATGCCTGCTTTAGGGATAAGGCACAATATGAGTGATTGAAAAGTAAATGCTAAGCTCAGGAAAACACTGGAGGCACAATTTCATCTATAGATGACATTGTTTTGGCTTATGGCAAGATCCTATGAATTAACTGATAAACCCATTAGAGAAGCAATAGAAACACAAAATGTGAATATTTCCAAAAGTTTGGCATATTGGCCATGGAGAGAATAGCAAGTTATGGTCCATGGTGTCTATTACATTACACTGGGCCCCACTATGATGATTCCGCTTCTCCAGCCAGATCAATCACAAGGATCTTCATTCTGTTAAGAATTTGATTTCATTGTAATAAGGCGAAAAATCCACTTTAAGTCAAAGAGTAATGTAGTAAAAAGTAGGAGAGGGCACTTTCTGGAAAGAGGTTGAAAATATTGGTAATAGGATGTAAAGCTATGTAAGACAGTCTACTAAATCTGTGCATTACCTCCCACATCCAACCAACCAGAAACTTTGATATACAGTCTGCTTCAAATCGGGGAGTATTTGAGTCGTCACAGTGTGTTGATGGTGAAGGTCCTATTTTAAGAGTTAAGGTAGCAGAATAAAAATATTTTGGATACATCAGAATGTCTTCCTGCCCAAAATAAATGGAATACAGAGGTTGAGGAATGGTTTCTTAATTGATAAGATTAATATAACTAAATAAAATATATTTAAAAATTTGCATTACATGACACAGTTAATAATGTTAAGCATACAAAGAACTTCTACAAATTAAGAACATATTATTAACAAATGAGTAAAGGACAGGAACAGGCAAGTCTCCAAAGAAATAATATAAATAACTGGTAAATACATGAAAAACTCTTTAGCCTTAGCAGCAATGAAAGAACTAAGTTAAAGCAAATGAATCTTCAGAAGTAGGTAATGGTATTATTTATCCTGCACTGTCCTGGGAGAAAGACCCCATAAATCTGAAAATCATGAGAATTTCAATCCAAAAGATTTCCTTTGTTACATGGCAGGGACCTTTGGACAGACACCCTGGCATGCATAAATCATGCCCCAGAACAACCTATCTCCCTTTACTCTAGTTCCATGCTCACTAAGTGACCTTGTTTTAGATTCTGCTTTCCAGAGCCACTATCATAAAATAATAAATGAATATTCTGGTGTAAATATCAGTCTTCAGTGAATCTGGTTAGTATGAGTCAGATCTCTCACCACTCGGCATTATTATACCCAGCTACAAACAAACAGAGCCAGTTTTCTCAATACGCAAGGCTGGGACCAGATCCTGGTTGGCGGTGACTGTACTAAATACAGGAAGTGTCACATTTATGAAATTTGCATTAAGTTCCTAGCCAGCTGCCCTGTTATGTAGACATCCTCAAACTGTAACAAAGAATTCAGGGACTTTTAGAGAGAAATCACAGAAAAGGATGATGAGAAATGAGTGATGAAGCTCTATTCTCTCACAGAAACTGCTCTAGAGGCCTGGGCTGAGGAAACAATCCTGAGAGGGAGAGTAACACCGTGAGGGCCAACAGTGATATACTCTTACTCTCAAAATAGATTCAGCAGTTTCTGGGTCCTGTTGAAACTCTCCAGAGAAATCAGGGAAAAGACACTGACATGATGGAGGGAAAGAAGCTGCTAACCTTGTACTAGAACAACCAAGATGACAGGATAAAGAGCAGGAGGGATAAGTCATATACCGAGTACAAAAGAGGGGGGCCCTCTAGACAGGTGCACGGAGGGGAGCACAGGCATTTAGCTGTGTGATAGGTCCCAAGTGAGGTGAACAAAGGACTAAGACTTGCCGGATATCGGAAGGCCATGGCTTCTTAAAATACCTTCCAGCTGATTGATACGACTGTTCTTGAGATCTAGGAGTCGATTCAACCTCTCCAGTTTTTCTTTGTGATTCTTATTTTCATTATCGGCTTTTGTCATCGTTGCCTCCAGTTCCTCCTGAAACGAAATCATGTCTGAACTTTCCTGTTTCAATGGCCAAGAACCAAAGAGCCCAGATAAAATGGTGGCACTTGCAGGGGAAAGGAGACTCAGCTCTCTCCTTAGCAGGGCAGATGCATCTACTAGAAAAAGGCCTGGGTTCCTCACAGATCCTTCCAGGATCAGTTTTGCTATTAGTGCCGTTGGTTAAAATTTGAACTCACAAGCATCACACTTGCCATTTTCATTAGCTAGACCCTTTACTGGCTTCTACGCCAAGGTGCCATGGGCATGTGTGAGTCCTCAAGCTCTTCAAAGGAAAGTGTATCACCTTGCAACAGCCCTGGAAACTTGGGTCTTGCTTCAATCCCAGGCTTGTAAGTGGTTCCCAGGTGCCCACTTATCTATCCCCTTCCAGTACCATCTTTTCTTGCACCTGATAACACATGTTGATTTTGCGCTGCAGAATAAGCATGTCTCTGGTCTTTTCTAATTCCAATGTGGTCTCTGCATGCGATACTTGCAACTCTCTTAACATCTGGGACAGCTTCCTTTCTTCTTGTTTTTTGGGTTCACAGGGCTACAGAGTGAAAAGCATTGGAAAAGGCGGGTATAAATATGATAGGAACAGTTATAACTATTCTTTATAAAGCTGTTGGTAATGTTAAAATACCAGCAGCAGAATACACTCCAAAATGTAAGCAGTCCTGAGTTACTTCACAAGTGTTCTCTCCCCTAGTTCCTCATGTTCAACAGCAGCAGTGAGTTATACAGCCCTCAATGGCTGTTTGCTCTTTAGCAGATAATTTCAAGTCCTCATCTGAAAAAGGTTCTAAATTTTATGAGTTCTACAGTGTAGAAAAAGTCTGTAGAGCTCATGAGGCTATCTCTACTCTCAGTCTTCTCATACCTTTCCAAATATTGTCCTCAATCAGGACAAAATGTTACTCAGTTTGTTTTCTAATCCTTTCATGTTTTCAAGGGATATTTGCCAGCCATCCCCCTGCAGAGGGGACTTGCTTAATTTAAGATGCTCTTACCTCTATCTGAACAGTCTCCTGGAATAGAACTGGGTGAGTGGCTGGCTCAGATTGCCTGTTAGGAGATTGGGAAATTGTGTCTTTATTTTGGAGTTCCTCTACTTCCTGCTTATGCTTCTGAAGCAGATTGGTGACTTCAAGCTTCAGATCCTTGTTTTGAGCTGGAGGAAAAAATAACACAGAAAGTTGAAACTCCGTGGTTACCAGTAACCATGTTAAAGTTGGACAGAGTGTGAATTAAATTTTCCCACTAGTTTTGATTCATTTTATTAACTGGCCCTTAGTGAAGTAATTCTCTCTCTTACAAAGGTGTTCTAGCTTACTGACCCTGAGTTGATACTTAGACTCCAAAAACATAATAAAAAAACAGCTGCAGAACTGCAGTATGGAAGGAAGAGCAACAGCAACAACAAACACCAGAGCCACCTGACCGACTGGGACAGTCCAGACTTCCTGACAGCACCATGTGAATCAGTATCTCCCCAACTCCATTCTGACTTCTATGCTACTGGCTCGCTGTGACACCCACCTCCTCACCCACCCTGACCTGGAGGGAGGGAGGCTGGGCATTTGAACATTTCTGTGTGTGTGTGTGTTTGTGTATGTGTTTCAGGAAACAAAGGTAATCAGTGTTTAGTGTGATTATTTCTGTACCATGCAGTAGAGAGGTTAAATTAGATTGCCCTAAAGGCTTCACAAGACTCCACTTGTACTACAAGATCCTTGGCATGAGCGCCTAAGCTCTATCCTTTTATGGTTCCTGCCCTTATTTTCCTTGATTTCTTTTCCTTCAACTCTTTTACGTGCATATACTAGAATCTGCTGAAATACAAATTTGATAAGACCAAATATCAAAGACTAAGTCCAGGCTAGCAAAAAGAAGGGTGTCAAAGGTCTCTGATGGTATTTTAAAATCTTCAGAATAGCTACTGTGATCCAAGAATTAAGAAAGGGGAAATGGCAGTGGTAACCAAGAACAATAATTTGCTTCTCGATTTCAGGTATCAGGTGCTAAAACAGAACAAAACAAAACAATCCCAAATGACCCTAAAATGACTGATAAGAATAAAAGGCAGAACAGTTCACTTTCAATACTTTCAGTAAATAAAGTGAATGCTTAAAAACATTATAAAGTAAGAATTGGCACCTTCTCACATGGAAAGTCATTATGTAGGGAGAAGTCTACGTGTGAGGTAGGTGTCAAGCTTTCTTGACTGTGAATCTTATCTGACTGTCAGTATTCTTATTCTAGTTACCCAAGACCCACGCAAAAAGAGAATCAAGTGTCAGGATTGGAGAAACGCTGGCCCCAGCTCCCTCCCCCGAAACCAGATGTAGAGGATCCCTCCTTTGAGAGGGCTCTTGAGAGAGCTTTGACCTACCTTTCTCCCTGGACAGCTGAAGTAAGATGTTCTTCTTCTCCTCCAGCTCAGCATCCAGCTGATCCTGCAGCTGAGAGACTTTCTGCTGTAGCTGTTCTCCTACAAGCTCATTGCTCCACTGAGACTGATTGCTGCTGTCCAGCATGCTGAAAATGGGAAGCAAGTGAGGGGGGAGGGGAGAGTTGTCAGATGGACACTCAAAGGTGTGTGATATGACGTCTTTATTACACAGTTTCAGCATCTCCTGGGCCTAGTTCACCATTCATTTCCCTGCATGTTTTTTCTGCCCCTGCTTTCTCTGTAACTGTCATTCACCAACTGTCTTGGAACTTTTGGGTCCTACTGAAGAGCTGCTTAGTATCACTTCTGTTTAGGTCTTGAAGATCCCACTGAGGAAGCTACACACATCATATCTATTCCCAAGGGACTTCTCCAGCATGATGGCTTTCTTTAGGCGGGGAACTGGCCTGCTGGATTAAAAATGAGAAACAGAATATTCCCATTTTCCTCACTCCATTCATCTGTCTACCATCATCAATGGCTAGTTTAGAGAAAACCTGCCTTTGAACTAGATTGTAAATTACTATACTGAAGGGCAGGAACTAAACTCTTCAATGACTGTTCCCTGTGGTCTGTATCTAGTGGTCAGGGCAGACCCATCTTGAGTGTAAAATGCACATTGCCAGTTCTTGATTATTTACACAAGTGAAGTGACATTGATAATCAAGCAATCATTTCTGTTTATGTCTTTGTCCTATTTATTACTTGAATAAATGTGGTCTACAAATAACTTGTTTAAGCCAGTATTAAGATTTCTTGGCACTTCCTGACATGATGATCCAAGAAGATAATGTTATAAATAATGAAGGGAAGAGGCCAATAGCCATCTTTGCCACAGGGAGTCTTCAAAGTGGGTAATCCCCACACTACCTTATTTCTCTGAGTTGAAGAGCATCAGCTGTTCCCAGGATACTCCCAAACAACCTCCCCAATCTACCCGCTGCTGCCGTTCACTGAATCAGAAGATATATTTAATTTTTTTAACTTCCAGGTATTTTTAGCTTCAAAAGTAATACATAAATATATGCTCACTGTGAAAATTTTAAATTATATACAAGTATATAGAATAAAATGAAGGTGCCTCTTTGACCTATTTCAATCCTTTCATCTCATTAAGTTTGTGGATACACACACACGACATAAATTAGGTCACAGTTAACACATCCTTTTGCAATATGATTTTTCTTTTAACAATATATCTTAGGCATATGGGTCTACCTCATTTTTAACAGCTTTACACTGTTTCTTTGTGGGGATGCAACATGATTTATTTAGGCAATCCCTATCAAAGGAAATTTGGATGGTTTCTATTTTTTATTTTACTATTACTAATTAAATTAACAAGGCAATAATTAACATTCTTAACATTCTTATCTTTGCATACACATAATATTTCTTTAGTTTTGATTCCAAAAAATGGAATTATCTGGCACAAAAGAGATGCATGTTTAAAATTCTGATAGTGTCAAATTCCCTTCCAAAAAGACCCTGTTTATTTATATTCTCACTGACAGTATTGGTACTATTTCCCTGTATCCTTATCAAAACTAGGTATTTTTTTAAATTTGGAAGGTAATTTTCTACAATTATCTTTTATAATAAACAATGCTCTGAGATCCAAATTCATACTCACTTTTCTAAGAGTTTGTCATAATTGTCATTCAGCAATTTTCGTTCTTTTTCCAAATCTTCAACTCTCTCCTGAAACTAAGAATGACATAGAGTGCCTGAGATGTGATTTTCCAATCTAGAGCCTTGCATACATTCTCCCTTCTCTGTTGCAGGGTAGGACTCAGGTGGGATAGTTTCTATGTTTGTCTCCCACATCTGTGAGGATCCATTTGACCATAAAGACTTGAACCAACTGAAGGTGTGATAGAAAATTTTATTGGAATTAATGAAAATTCTCTGAATTAAATTTTCATGATATCTGGGTTTATACTATTAGGGAAGCAGTAGGACATTATAACAGAGTGAAGACTTTGGAGACAGACATAAGTATAAATCCTAGTTTTTCCCCTAATGGTGCAATCTTGAGCAAATTACTTAACCACTTGGCACCTCATTTTTCTCATTTGAAAAAATTAAATACCCATACTGTTGCTAAGATACACTTTTTGACATCTCTGAAATTGGACTGTAACATACAATTGTATCTTTCAATTATTATTGTTACTTACCTCCTTCAGTGTTATCTGCAGGATGGACACATCCTCCAGTTGGCTCTTCAAGCTCACAGCCTTCTTGCTCTCCTCCTTCAGCTCTGCCCTGAGCTCATTCACTTGGCTGAGGAGGGCATCATGGGCTGCACCCAGGATTCCCTCATTCTGGGGCAAAAAGAAAGTTGCTCTGGGAATGTTCATATCCCAGCAGGAGTGGCCTCAAGATACCAGCAACCCCAGCATTCCCTAGTGGATGTCTCAAGAATGGCTTTGATTTACAGCATGTTGCCTTTGCTCTATAAACTGACCTTGTTTTTCACCCTAGCATTTCTCAGGGAGTATCATTTCCCTGTTAGTGAGGCTTTTCCACTCTGGGAGACTATAATTCATCACTGGAGCCTTAATTTTCCCAAGGTTCGAATTCAACCTTGGCTCTAAGTGAAGTGCCACCTTTCTCAGCTGCCTTTACTTTCTAAGCTGTTCGGGTGCTTTTTTATGATGAAATATTTCTCGTTTTGCACCTAGCCAACTGAGATGTTAACTCTGGAAGTTAAATGTGCATTTTTCTGGTGAACACTTCTGGTGAGGAACAACTGTGGCTGGTCTTGATGGGAACTCTGCATCTGTGACTCTTAATCACGGACATTCACCCAGCTTCACCGGTACTCCACTCACAGGGGTGCAAATATTTGATAATACTGGTGAAGATTTGCAACCACTTTGTTATATCTCAGCAATTCCCACAGGCTAGAGGACTATTCCTAGGAATTTTTCATTAAAATGCTATCATTTTCTCTAGCAATAGGCTGAAAAATATTATTCCAAATATTTCTCAACTCAGGTTTCATACTTCAATTTTTATGAAAACAGTGTAATGAGTATCTTCTGATAATAGTAATAATATCATTTGTCTTAGTAAAAATTATATAACATAATAAATTTGAGTTGTCTAAATTCTAGTGTTACTTGAAGATGAAGATTTCTTTGGGTTTCATTACTCTGATTACTAAACAACAGATTTAAGGAATCTTTATTAAGTACCTTCTGCAGCAGAGTATCATAAGCCTGGAAGAAAGAAAGACGTATTATTCTATTGATGTATCAACTTGATGTTTATTTTGTTTATTTCCATAATACAAATTTTTTAATATTTATTTTAAAAGACGTTGTAAAAATTTTTGTAAATTACATCAATTCGTGTACCTGTTTACTAATTGCTATTCCTTTACTCCTGCCCTAGCTTGCCAGGCAGTCTGTGAACATAATAGATCATACCATTTCTTTGAAAAGAATGGAATCATTTTGTCATTTCTGAGAAGCTGAAAATTTCAGAAAAGTATAAGGACTATCATAGCAGTCATCTATAATGCTGCTATCCCAAATTAATAATTATTAGTGCTTTATATAATAGTTTTTCAAAAGTATTTTTTTTTTTACTAAAATGTATTTCAAAACATTTCAGATGTTAAGAAAAGGCAAAGTAGTATCTTTGGGCAAAAAAAAATGGCCTTGTCATCAACTTGCTTAAAACTTTTCTGTGGCTCTCTGCTGTCTATGGGATAAAGTCTAAACTCCTGATAAGGCCTCCATGACCTTGTCCCTGATGTTTCTCACCTCTGTGACTTGGTCTACATGGTTTCTCCCGTGGAAAGCCCTTCCCTCTCTTACAAACTCACTAACACCTGCTAAACTCAGTATTCCAGGATTTGGCTCATGAATAAAATCCTTTATGAATCCTCTTCAGATCCTGCACCCCATCTGCTAGTGGATCTGACTACTCTCTCTTTTGTGTCCCTCCCCTACTCCCACCCCATACCCTGTTTGTGGATGACTGGACTTGGTTGCATCTTGTCTTCTCCTGTAAGTTCCTTGAAGGCAGGAGCTATCTTATCTTTTTAATCTTTGTATCCTTGTACTCTGCACAGTTCCTGGAAGTCAATAAATATTTATTCAATAAAAGAATGGTGCCCATCTATTATTTAGACCTTTGATGCCATATCTCTATCATTCAGATATGAGTGTCTATTGTGTGGTAATGAGAAGAGTATGAGCCTTGGTGCCAGATAAACCTGGACTCATGTCCTGCTCTGCCTCTTACTCTTTTTATAACTTGAGCAAGTTATTTAACTTGTTCAAGGCTCAGTTCCCTCATCCGTTAAACATACTTACCTTGGGGTCGTTGTTGGGCTTAAATGAGATCATGACTATGAGTATCTAGGACAGAGTCCACCATGTAGAAAGGGCTCAGTAACCTGGTTTCTCTCCCCTTCCCATGACTGCTCTTGACTTCCCAGCTTAATTAAACTCTGTGGTCTTTGGCTGGGACCCTAACCTGAACAAGTTAACCCCGCTTAATTCCACCTTAGCGGGCAGGACTCGAGCCTGCTTCCAAACAGAGGGATAATGGGAAGTACTGGAAAAGGAATGTACTCTGAGTTGTAAGGCTTGGATTTGAACACCACCTATAGATTGTGTGACTACAGACAAGTAACTTAGTTTCTCTCAACTGTGGTCTCCTGCGTGTAAAATGGAGAAATAACACTGATCTCTGTTTTTAAATTGTTATTTCCTATTGGAGTTTTGTCAATTTACAGTGTTAGTTTCAGGTGTACAGCAAAGCGATTCAGTTACTAATCTTTTAACTAATTGGTTTTTCCCCCTAAAAAAGAACAACTGATGATAGCAACTCACCGCCTGAACTTCCGTTAATTGTGCTTTTGTCGCTGCCAAACAGGTATTCCTTTCACGTAAGAGCTTCTGAAGTTGTATCAGCTGTATATTCTCCTTAATGGAAGCTCTGGAGAAAGGAGACAGTGCTAAAACATTGTCTGTGAATGGACAGAGTAAATTACTTTCCCCCCTCTGGATATGGACAGGGGACATAAAAGAAGATTATTATTTCTGAAACCAGGAGATCATGTTTTCTTTACATCTGCAAGGTACTGGGAAGGATTTGGGCTCACCAGACTGTCTCAGTGATCCCCTAGTCCTAGCTGCTTATTACAACCATCTGAAGAGATCTTTAAAATTACACTGCCTCAACTCTACCCCCAAATAACTGAAAGGGAGCCTCTGGGGTAGGGCCCAGTCATTTGTGGTTTTAAAGGCCTCCAGGTTGAAAACTTCTGTCCAGACAAAATATGTGCACATGGATGTTTATAGCAGTTTCATTCATAATTGCCAAAACTTGGAAGCTACCAAGATGTTCTTCAGTAAATGAATGCATAAACTAACTGTGGTACATCCAGACAATGGAATGTTATTTAGTGCTAAAGAGAAATGAGCTAGGGTGAGAGTATAGCTCAGTGGTAGAGCATGTGCTTAGCATGCATGAGGTCATGGGTTCAATCCCCAGTACCTCTATTTAAATAAACAAACAAACAAACCTAGTTACCTCCCCCCACCAGAAAAAATAAAGTGATGGTCTCAGTCTTTTTAAAATTGAAAAAAAAATTTTTTTAAAGAAATGAGCTATCAAGCTATGAAAAGACATGGAGGAAATTTAAATGCATATTGCTAAGTCAAAAAAGCCAATCTGAAAAGGGTATATGCTGTATGATCCCAATTATATGACATTCTGGAAAAGGCAAGACTATGAAGACAGTAAGATCAGTGGTGCCAGGGGTTACGGAGTAGGGAGGGATGAATAGGCAAAGCACAGAGGATTTTTAGGGCAGTGAAACTGTTCTGTGTGATACTCTAATGATGGATACTTGTCATTATACATTTGTCCAAACCCATAGAATGGACAACACCAAGAGTGAACCCTAAGGTAAACTATGGACTTTGTGTGATTATGATGTGTCAGTGTAGGTTCATCCATTATAATAAATGTACCACCCTGGCAGGGTATGTTGGCAGTGGCGGAGGCTGTATGGGGGGAGGGGGCAGGACTAGTATATGGGAAATCTCTGTACTTTTACGCTCAATTTTGTTGTGAACCTAAACTAGTCTAAAAAATAAAGTCTATTTTTTAAAAAGTTCTCCAAGGACTGATACACAGTGGGGGCGGAGATCCCCTATCTGGTGATAAGGATGACAGTTGTGTTTTTTTTAATCCTATGAAGTGAAGCAGCAAATCTTCTATTCTACATAAGCATCCCCTTTAGGTTAATCTATTTCTTAACCCACTTGGTACTTCAGGTCTACTTCTCAGATTGAATTCAATCCCAAGCATTCTCTTTTTCTCTGAGACGGAGGACAGGTTCAAGCAAGAATCTCTTTTCCAGTTTGTTACGACTCGAGGTATGGAATGCCACGCTCTTACCGAAGCTCTGTGGCCTTCTGAGCACACTCCAAAGAGCTCCTCTGTTCACAGTTTTCATCTTTGGACCACATTTTCTCAGGAGACTTGAGTGGTTCTTCCACTTCCATAGTACTGCTGGTCATAATGTGGGCACTGTTAGGCATGTGACTTTATGACTGTTAGACCAATGACTTTAGCCATAATTATGACTTTGCTAAAAGAAATTATACTGTTAGAATTAGGAACAAAAAGAAGAAATAGAAACTGCCGTTATAGGAGTTTAGAACTGGGCACTCACATATATAAAAAGAAGGTAGAGGAGTGAGTAATCTTGGCATACGTGGAGGATAATCTTACAAAATATAGCTTTCAATTATCAAACAGAAATATAAGTGAATTACGATCTAAGGGGGGAAATAAAAAGGGAAAGAGAGGGAATATCTTCAGTTAAGGAAAGGGCCTTTATTTTCCTTTCCTTGGAAGACAGAGAGATGCTTATTTTCCATTTTTAAGCAATGAAGTTAGAATTTGACCTAGGGTTGACTTTCATCTTCTCTGAGTATGCTGGAAAGACTCACAAATGCCAATATTCACTTGTTCCCTAAATGATGTTTTTCCAATTAAAGCTGAAAGAGTAATAGCACAGGATAAAGGAAAAGAACTCACAGTTCGCTGGGTTCACTGGCTATTTCACCTCTGGCTTTTTCACTTGTCACATGTTCCTTGAATGTGGGAGGGGCTGTGTAGCTCAGCCGGTCCCTTGACTCTGAAAGTTTAGACAGAAGATGCAGACTCTGGCAACAGATTTCTCCAGAGCATCAAGCACTAGAAATGGAACACCAAGTGCTGGAAGTAGGTGGAAATCCTTATATGACCAATGATCAGAGGAGAGGTTCTCAGTCTTTACTCCTGCATAGATATGCAACTGCAGGTCTAATAATTCAGCAGCAGTACAGACTCTTAAGTGAGTATAAATGGGAAGAAGAAAGAGCAGGGACTTTGTGTCTATGCATCTTTATCTCTAGTGCCTGGTATATAACTGGTATTCAATAACGCTGACGTTAAACTGAATTGAAATTTAGACTTACTTAGTTTTCCTACTTTTAGTTGTTTTCACAAGGGTTTGGTTGGCTCAAGTAGGGAGCTTGAAAACACAGGACCATACTGAACAAAACTTAACTTTGAATCCCCAGGATAAAGACATCCCATGCCCACAGACGTAAAGCAGGGATGAGTAGGCCAGGTGAAGGAAATATACACACAGATTTGTATTGAATCAATGTTGAGTTCCACAGCAGCCAGAGACTCCTAGTCAGGGACTTAGCCACTTGGAATACAGGAAGAGAAGAAACTGCAACTCCTCACTTAATAGCCTGGACTTCAGGAATGGACTTTGGGAATCTGAATCCATGGAACTGTATGCAAAGTTTTGTCTACAGGTACCCATATTTTTCTTGGGAGGAAGCCTAGCTTTGATCATGGTTTCAAAGGAGTCCACTTCCCCAAAAAAGCAAAGAATCCCAGTTTTAGAGGCATGGCCACTTAGCCCAGAGTCCCAGAGTCCCAGGAAAGGGACCTGTCTTAAGACCACTGCCTCTTACACCTGAGCAGGTCATCAAAGTTATCTCTGCTTTCTAGACCCTTCAGAACTTGATCAGTGAAGTTCAATTTCCACTGTCTGATTCTCATCTCAGCAGTACTTCACAGTGAACTGAGAATTTCGAACCTGACATCCTACTCAGAAAAAAAGATTTTAGGGAGGTAGAAAGGAATGAGAACAAAAGAACAAAGTGGGGTAGTGGACGGAATGAAGCAGTGAGGAGGAAATGTGGCTGGCAAACCAACCCTTCCCAGTGTTTTTGCCCTGTCGGGGACTTGGTCCTGAGCCTCACCCCTCTTGGGTTTCTCGGCCCCTGGCGCCCCTGCGGTGTGGAGCTGTCTGTGTCCCACGTGGACGCGAGGCTGGGTGCGGCGGGGAGCAGGGGGGCCCAAGCGCTGCAGCTGCAGTTGCAGCCCGTGCACGGGAGGGCGCTGATGCTTGGCGGGGCGCTGCCGCCACCCCGCGTTCCGCCGCCGCCTAGCGGGCTCCCGGAGCTGCTCCGCCGTTGCTACCTCGGGCCTCAGGTCCCGGCCTGCCGCGGTGAGCCGGAGCAAGGCTGTCCTCATCCTACGGGCAAACACAGAGCTGGTGGCACGTGTCTTCTCCTATGACAGTTATTATTTACACAGTTTATTTGGTGGCAAATAACCCGAACTGATCTCTAATGTAAATTTATGTACTATTCATTGTGCAGTGATCACACACTCATCTTGGTAAAAAATAGGGCATGCCTCAATATATTTGTGTCTTTATTTTTACATTATATACAGTTACTTCTATACTGATAAATTATGGTCATTATAAAACATAAAAATGCTAATTTTTAAAAGAAAGATAATTAAATATAAGTAGAAATTTTAATATTTACTTCTCCCATTCCAACTGTTCTTACACTCCTGTGTATGAGCCCACTTTCAGGATTATTTCTCTCCAGCCCCCCTGGATACACGCAGCCTTACCTACAGTGGATAGTCAATCATTATTTATCATCTTGACCTAAAGTCATACTTTTAACCATTACCATCAAATTCTGCAGTCCCACTGCCTGCCAGTTCTGACATTTACTGCCTATGCGGCCTGGGCCATGTCATTAGCCTTTTGTGCTCAGTTTTCTCATCTTTAAATAAAGATAAAAATACTACCTGCCTCATTGGATTGTTAAAAGTATTAAGTAAGTTAATATATATAAAGGGCTTAGAGCAATGATGGTGCAATGCAAGCAATGTAGGAGTTAGCTAGTATTATTACAGATAATTATACCCAGATAAAGAAATCAAAGCATAAAACAGCTAGGGTAACTTGCCCAAAATCAGAGGGGATAGAATCCAATTTAGCCACCTAATATCTAATAATCTCAAATACTTTTTGGTTATCAACCAAGAAGCCAGAGTTTTTGGCCCATGCAACTATCTGTCTTCACTGGATTCTCACGTTCTCCACAATATAAAAGAATCTCCAACTCTAAAGAGTGTTGGCATGTGTGCTGGAAGCCTGCAATCCTGCAAAGTCTAAATGAAACTCTGAACCATTCCTGGGAATTACCAATGAGAAAGCACAAAGCTGCTTTTGACCTCAGGGAATTGGTCTGACATAGCTAGTCCTCAGTGTTGCTGGAAGGTGGCCTGGTGCTCACAGCTAGGCCATGTTATCCTTCTGTAGGACGTAATCTCATGGAACAGCAGCATCACACAATGTCACACTGAGACCATGATCGAGTGATACAAAACAAGGCTGCTGCGTACTTTTGTCTCAGCACTGAAAAAATGTCTCCGTGCCACCCACAAAATACCAAACATACACCTCTCCTGGCTAATATGAGTGACTGTTTCTTCTTTCCCAATTACAAATTTAGCCTCACTCTAGTCTCTCCTTCCTGTAGATAAGATTTGAGATATCCAAGCATAGAATTGCCCCTGCTTTCTGATAGCACCAAATCTGGAGCAAACTCCTGTTACCTTGGACCTTCCCCCAAGTCACCCAACTAAAGCACAAATCCTATAAATACGCTCTTTCTAATACATTCTCACTGAGATGCCGATGGTGTGCATTTTTTTCTAGCTGCAAAAGTAATAACCCAACTTGCCCAATTAGGTGTGTTTCTGGTGGTCTTTGGCTGGAAGGCACTGACACTTATATCTTCAAAACGTATCCTAGAGATTAACCCCAGGCTTTTCGGAACTCTTATGCTCTCTGTTTATCTACACACACCCCATCTCAGATTCCTTTCCAGGTTTGCACCCAAAAGATACACTTTTGAAAGCCAATACCCTAAAGTCACTGTATATGGTATATTTTGGAGTTAAGAGCTTTCGGCTCTGCCACTCCCTAGCTATGCCCTTGGACAAGTTACTTAACCTCTTTGTGCTTCCTTTTCCTCTTAATAATGCTTCTTTCACAGTATTAAGTGAATTAATATTATTTATAATATTAAGTTATAAAGCACATATAACATGCCTGCATATAGTAAATGATCAATATGATTTTTGGTTTGGTTTTGCAAATAAAAACCCCTTCTCTTATTTGCACCTGCAGCCTTTATTCCCCTGAGATTTTGGCTATTCCCCTGTCCCCATTCTCTCTTTTGTGACCAGGGCAAAAACCTTCCCAGTCTCTTGCTCTCTGGATTGGAATAACTGATCATGTTTTGTGGACTGTGGCCACAGTCGATTGATGTGTTTGGCAAGAAAACAGAATAAAGCAATACCGCTTCAAAAATTATTTTTGGAGTTAACCATCCTTGACATTTGAACTGTTTTCTGGTATAGACATTTCAGGAAAATGTATTCTTTTTGGTTTCTTGTGGTGTAGGCCTGGTGTAGATACAGATTTTCAAGACTTAAGGAGAACTCTAGGTACCTTTTTTTTTCCTTTTCAGCTTGTATTCATTATAAACTATATCTGTCAGCATACCTCTGCAAACATCTTTATGTTCATGTAGTTCTTTCAGTCCTAGAAGTAGAGTTTCCGGCTTACAGGGTTCCAGGGTTTTTTGGGTGTTTGGGATTAGCAGATACAAACTATTACATACAGAATAGGTACCTTTTGATCTCATCCTGTTGCTTCCAAAAAAGCTCCTTCACCAAAATGTGCTCATCACGAAGACGAAATAAACTGTCTTCCAGTTCTTCCCGGCTCATCCGGCTCAAGGGCAGTTGAGTTTTTACATTCTTACCTAAAGTCCCAGGAGAGGGTAAATAGAGATTATTTTTACATTTAATTTTTTTTAACCTTTCACATCTCTTATCACATCTTGCCCAGAGAGCTTGAATCTATTTTAAGTCATGTGTTTAAGAGGAAATTCAGGAAGTATATGAAATGTGTACTAATGGACCTCTTTATCATTCCATGTCACTCCTGGATATGGAAAATCATTCCATGTCATTCCAGCATATGACTCAACCTCCTGTCTGTAAAGTATATTCCCTTTATAAAAATAGCAAATAGGACTTTTAGTCTACTTATTTTTTATTTTTAATCCACTCTTTTATTTTTCCTCCTCATTACGTAACTTGGACCTAGACAAGGATTGTGCCCACAACTGTCTTCAAATCCTCAGTAAGAGAAAGGATAGAAAACTTTCTTGATTATTGAGTCATCACCTTTGTTTTTGTAGTGTGGAGAAATTGTCCCCAAAATTGCCTCCTTGGAATAGAGCCTCTGCTTCATCTAAGCAGAGGAAACTACAGTACATTGTTAAGTGTGTGAGTGTTCACTAGCCTAAACCATCTCCGATCCCATGAAAACCATCCAGAGCTCAAAATACAACTCCTCCTCTGGAATAAAGAGAGCTCAGAACCACTGTCACCTCTCTAATCTACCCTTTGGAAATGATAAAATGTAAGTTTAAAAAAAAACAACTTTATTGAAGTATAATTGCCATGTATTACATTGAACATATATAAAGTGTAAATTTTTATTAATTTTGACAAATATATATATATATATATACTTGTGAAACCATCTGCACAATTAGAATAATGAACATATCCATTATTGCCAGGTTTCCTTGTGCCCTGTTGTAATCCATTCCTCTCCACCCCATCCTAACCCTAACCCACCCACCTTTCTTCCCAGGCAAACACTGATATATATGTTTTATGTCACTTTAGTTTCCATTTTCTAGAATTTTATATAAATCGAATCACTTATTATATACCCAGAGTTGGGGGTTTTTTTGGTGTGTGTGTCTGACTTTTTTTCACTCAGCATAATTATTCTGAGATTTATCCATGGTGTTTTATATATCAGTAGTTCCTTTTGATTGCTGGTAGAATTCTGAATAAACTATAATTTATTTATCCATTTACTGTTGATGGACATTTGGATTATTTCCACTTTTGGCTATTACAAATAGAGCTACTATGAATATCTGTGTATAGGTCTTTGTGTGGCATGTTTTCATTTCTCTGGATATATACGTAGGAGTGATACAGTTGGATCATGAGGTAAGTATATGTTTAACTTTTAAAAAATCATAAATTGTTTTCCAAAGTGATTATACCATTTTATATTCCCACTAGCAGTGAATGAGAGTTCTAGTTCCTATACATCCTCATCAACACTTAGTCTTTTTAATTTTAGCCAACCTAGTGGGTAAATAGTCATTTTAAGTATATTAATTTACATTATTAATTTACATTTTCTTAATGGCTAATGATACTGAACATTTTGTGTGTGCTTATGTGCCATCTGTATATCTACTTAAATTTAAGTGTGTGTTTAAGTCTTTTGCTCATTTTTTATTGTTGGATTTTTAAAAATCTTTTTTTTTGTTGAGTTGTTTGTAAATTTTAAACATAAGTCATTTGTTGGATATACGTTTTGCAGGGGTTTTTTCTCCTGGTCTGTGTCTTGCATTGGTCCTTCCAGGCAAGAAGCCTCCCTACTCTCTAATTTCGAAGGATCTCTTTATGTCAGGATTAAGAATGAGAGAGGATGAAAATAGAGCAGGTAACAGCAGGTATAATCATTACAGCTTAAAATCATGTATATGAAGGAGAAATCTTGAGGTGAGGCGAATTCATGGAAGTCAAGGATTTGGCTAGTCTCTGATTCTATTCCTTCCTCCAGGGAATCATTAACTCGTTAGGCCCAGATTAAGTCAACTATGTCTCGATATCTTCCTTCTTATGAGGCTAAGATTTTCCACACAATGATTTTCTGTGAATGGTCTTCTCTGATTAAATGATAGTGAAAGATTGTCTCTTCAGTTAATGACAGTCTTCCCCAATAGAGAATATTATCTAAAGGAGTTTGGATTTCTATCTACACAATCTATTTGGTCTCAAGAAAACCAGCAGGAGCCCAGCAATTCCTGATTAAGGCAAGTCATCCCCTTCCTCCTTTCTTCCAATCACCACTCTCTCCCCTGCCCCAATCAGTCCCTGCGGACAAATGATTTAACCTTTTGAAACCAAGTAAAACTCTCAGGCCTTGACCAAGTGTTTGGCTTCCCTTCTGGAGACCTCTTTTTCCTCACCTATCTCACATGAATCAACTAGCTATGGCTCAGCTAGACAGGTTAGTTGTAATTGCCACTAGAGTTTATTCATTGCCATATGTTATAACATCTTCTAATTATTTTGTTCCTAAAAGAATGGTAATAAATAATGTCTCTTTCCTTTTTTTGTTTATTTTCTTGTGATTTTTTTAATTATAAGTTTTTATTCTGAAATAATTTCAAAAATGATAAATCTTTAGCTAGACTTAACAAGAAAAAAAAGGAGAGGAACCAAATCAATGAAATCAGAAATGAAAAGAAGTTACAACCGATACCACAGAAATACAAAGGGTCACAAGAAACTATCACAAACAACTATATGCCAATAAAATGGACAACCTAAAAGGAATGGACAAATTCTTAGAAAGATACAAACTCCTAAGACTGAACCAGGAAGAAATTGAAAATATGAACAGATCAATTGCCAGCACTGAAATCGAATCAGTAATTTAAAAACTCCCAACAAACAAAAGTCCAGGAACAGGAGGCTTATCAGGTAAATTCTACCAAACATTTAGAGAAGAGCTAAAACCTACCTTTCTGAAATATCCCAAAAAATTACAGAGGAAGGAACACTTCTGAACTCATTCCACAAGGCCAGCATCACCCAGATACCAAAATTAGACAAAAATATCACAAAAAAGGAAATTACAGGCCAATATCACTGATGAACATAAATACAAAAATCCTTAACAAAATATTAGCAAACCAAATCTAACAACACATTAAAAAGGATCATATACATGACCAAGTGGGACTTATCCCAGGGATGCAAGGATTTTTCAATATCCACAAATCAATCAATGTGATACATCACATTAACAAACTGAAGAATAAAACCATACAATCATCTCAATAGATACAGAAAAGCTTTTGACAAAATTCAACATCCATTTATGATTTAAAACACACTCTCCAGAAAGTGGGCATAGAGGGAACATACCTCAATATAATAAAGGCCATATATGACAAACTGACAGTTAATATCACACTCAATGGTGAAAAGCTGAAAGCATTTCCTCTAAGATCAGGAATAAGACAAGGATGCTCACTCTTGCCACTTCCATTCAAAATAGTGTTGAAAGTCCTAGCCACAGCAATGAGACAAGGAAAAAGAAAGAAAGAAAGAAAGAATGGTATCCAAGTTGAAAGTGAAGTAAAACTGTCACTATTTGCAGATGACATAACACTATACCTATGACATAATACTAATCCTAAAGATGCCACCAGAAAACTACTCAAGCTCATCAATGACTTCAGTAAAGTTGCAGGGTAGAAAATTAATATACAGAAATCTGTTACACTTCTATACACTAATAATGAACTATCAGAAAAATAAATGAAGGAAATAATCCCATTTTCCACGGCATCAAAAGGAATAAATACCTAGGAATAAACCGACCTAAGGCGGTAAAAGACTTGTACTTGGAAAACTGTAAGACACTGATGAAAGACATATATCAGGAGATACATGCACCTCAATGTTCAAAGCAGCATTATTTACAATTGCCAAGATATGGAAGCAACCTAAGTGTCCATCAGCAGATGAATGGATAAAGAAGATGTGGTATACACACTCACACACACACAGTGGAATACTACTGAGCCATTAAAAAGGATGAAATTTTGCTATTTGTAACAATATGAATGGAATTGGAGGGTACTGTGCTAAATAAGTTAGACAAGGAAAGACAAATACTGTATGATATCACTTATATGTAGAATCTAAAAAATTAAACAAATAGTGAATATAACCAAAAAGAAACAGGCTCATAGACATAGTGAACAAACTAATAGTTAACAGTGGGGAGAAGGAAAGAGGGGACGGGTGAGATAGGGTTAGGGGATTGAGAGGTACAATTATGTATAAAATAAATAAACTAGAAGGATATATTGTATAGTATGTGGAATATAGCCAATATTTTATAATAATTATAAATGGAGTATAACCTTTAAAAATTGTGCACTATTATATTGTACACTTGTAAATTATATAATATCATACATATATTTCAATAAAAAAAGAAACAAACTATATTATGGTCCATCTAGCATCAATAATTGAACAAGCTCTAGATACTAGGTGGCTCTGATTACATCCCAGCTCAACAAGGTCTCACCATAGGTCCTCCTTTTTTAAAAATTAAACTTAACATGCTTTATGTTACATATATTATACAAAAAAAAATAACATATCAAAACTTACAGGATACAGCTAAAGCAGGGATAACAGGGAAATTTATAGCTATGCATTAAAAAAGGAAAAAGATCTCAAATCAATTATCTTTCACTTTAAAGAATTAGGAAGAGGAGGAAAGTAAATCCAGAACAAGCAGAGAAAGAAGATAATAAAGATTAGAACAGAAATAAACAAAATAGAGAATAGAAAAACAATAGGGATAATAAAACCAACCTTTCTTTGAAAATTTTCTTTGAAAGATCACAAAATTAGCAAAACTTTAGCTAGATTGACCAAGAAAAAAAAGAGGAGACTCAAATTACTAAAACCAAGAATCAACAAGGGGACATTACTATCAACCTTTAAGAAATAAAAAGAATTATGATAGAATCCTACAAATAATTGTATGTCACCAAATTAGATAACCTTGGTGATAACTAGGTCTATTCACAGATGATGCAATTTTTTAATCTAGAAAGCCCTAAAGAATCCACTAAAAAAATTTTACTAGAATTAATGAGTTCAGTAAGGTTTCAGGGTATAAGATCAATAAATAAGAATCAATGGTATTCCCACATACTAGCAATGAATGATCTGAAAATAAAATTAAGAAAACAATTCCATTTATAATAGCATCAAAAAATAAAACACATAGGAATAAACTTAATGAAGAAGTATAAAACTTGTACACTGAAAATTATAAAACATCATTGAAAGGAATTAAAGTATATTTAAATAAATAGACATCCCATGTTTATGGATTTGAAGACTTAATGTTGATAAGATGGCAATACTTCCAAAATTTATGTACAGATTCAATGCAATCTCTATCAAAATTCCAGTTAGCTCCTTTTTTTTTTTTTTGCAGATATGGACAATCTGATCCTAAAGTTCATATAGAAACACAAGGGATCCAGAACAGCTAAAATAATGTTGAAAAATAACAAAGTTGGAGGACTTATATATCTTAATTTCAAAACTTACTACAAAGCTACAATAATCAAGACAGCATGGTATTGGTATAGGATATGCACATAAACCAATGAAACAGAATTGAGAGTCCAGGAAGAAATCCTTACATGTATGGTTAATTGATTTTTAACAAGCATACCAAGAAAATTCAATGGGGGAAGAACAGCTTTTTCAACAAATAGCATTGGGACAACTGGATAGACACATGCAAAGGAATGAAGTTGGATCATTATCTTGCAATGTATTAAAAATTAACTTAAAGTTGACCATAGACCTAAATGCTAAAACTACAAAATTCTTAGAAGAAAATATAATACCTTTGTGACCTTGGATTATGCAGTATCAGATATGACACTGTGGAGTTAGACATGGAACCAAAAGCACAAGTGACAAAAGAAAAAATAGGTAAACTGGACTTCATCCAAATTAAAAACTTTTGTGCTTTAAAGGCCACTATCAAGAAAGTGAAAAGCCAACCCATAGAATGGGAAAAATATTTGCAAATCTTACATCTGATAGGAGACATGTATCCAAAAATCACAAGTAACTCTTACAACCAACAATATAAAGGCAAACAACCCAATTAAAAAATAGGCAAAGTATCTGAGACATTTTTCCAAAGAAGATAAATAAATGGCTGAAATATATGAAAGATGTCCAATGTGATTTTTAATTAGGGATATGCAAATCAATATCACAAAAAGAAAGAATAAATTAAAAAAACAAAACATGAAATCAATGACAATAACAACTATTGGTGAGGATATGAAGAAATTGGAACTTTCATACATTCCTAGTAGGAATATAAAAGTGTACAACTGCTTTCAAAAATAGTTTGGGAGTTCCCCAAAATAACAAAAAATTATCATATTTCCAAGCAATTCCACTTCTAGGTATATACCTAAGAGAAATGAAAACATACGTCTACACAAAAACATATACACAGATGTTCATAGCAGCATTACTCATTATAGCCAAAGAGTGAAAATAACTCAAATAACCATCAACTGTTAAGTGTATAAATAAAATGTGGTATTATAATTCAGCAATAAAAAATGAAGTGTTAATAAATGGTACAACATGGATTAACTTTGAAAACATTATGCTAAGTGGAAAAAGCCAGACACAAAACAATCATGTATTATGTGATTCCATTTATAGAAAATGCCCAGAATAGGCAAATCCATAGAAACTTAAAGCAGACTAATGATTATCAGGGGCAGGGAGAAGGGACATGGAGAATGTTTGTATAGGGTTCATTTTAGGGGTACTTAAATGTTCTAAAATTACATAGTGGGGATGAAAGCACAACTCTGATCATAGTAAAAATTAATGAATTGTACACTTCAAAAGAGTGAATTTTACAGTATACCCCAATATAACTATTATGTATGATCTATATGTATTATATGCAACATATATTATATGTGTTTTATCATATAAATGTTATTATATGTCATATTTATCTCACACATATAAATGAGGTAACAAAACACATATGAACAGTTTAAATAATAATAATTAAGTATGCACACACATACACATAAGCTTAAGAAACAGAACATTACCAGGACTCTGTAATTCCTCACTTCTTCCCCTGAAGTGACCACTATCTTGACTACTGTGTTAATAACTGACTTATATTTCTTTATAACTTTATAAAGAAAATTTAAATTATTTAATGTATTTATTACAAAGAAAACAAATTTATTATTTCATTACATGAATATATATCAATGTATATGCATCTGATCAGTGGACATTAATGTTGTTTCCATTATGGAATGGAGTGCTGCTGGAAACATTCTGGTATATGTCTCCTGGTACATGTATACAAAAACCTCTGCAAACTTTATACCCAGAAGTAAAGTTGCGTGTTCAACTTTACTAGATAATGCTAAGCTTTTTTCCGAAGTAAATGTACCATTTATACACCCATGGACAGTATATAAAGTGCCTTATCTTTGAAATAAAATTTACAGAAGTGAAATCAGGTGAAAAGAATTAACAGTAGCCATGAATACAATTGAAGGGTAGAAGCGTACGAACAAAGTTACAAAAATATCTTAAGGGGAGTGTAGAAGAAGCACTAGTAGGGCTGTGCCCTTTCCTTTTAAATTGCCTACCTCTGCTTAGTGAGAGGGCTTATCACATGGATAAATGGATGCGACACACTCATTTGTTCTTGGTTTTTGTTGTGATGTTTGTCATGGTAGCAGTTAACTTTACTTCCTAAACCCGCACAGTAAAACTTTTATAAGACTATACGGATAAAATGTTGAGAAGCTTGAAGAAAAGAGTTGAGAGCAAAGCAGTCACTGTGCAGGCTAGCAAGATGCCCCACAATAACAGGCTGAGAGCTGTTTTCATTCTAAGAGGCATCAATCCTCAGGCACCAAATTTACCTTTGGACGTTGGTATCATAGGAGATATCGAGTCCATGTCTCTAACACGTCCTTGATGTACTTTCCACCAGCAGATGAGATGTCATATCAGCTCCCAAGCTGTGAGATATCCCACAGGACACAAAAATAAAGAAAAAGTTCAGCCAATTACATACAACTTCAGGATGCCTTCTGCAGTCTGTACTTGAGTTTTAGCAGGAATCTCTCAACACTTACGTAATGGTATACGACGCATCTTAGTCTTTTTAGTAGTGGTGTGGATCACTCTATACAAAGGGCAAGACCAAGCATTCAGTAATAATAACATTATTTATTCAAAATGAAATCAATTTTTCTGATTTTAGAATTGTTGTATATCATTTTGGATCAATTTTTAACTGTCTATTCAGCCTGGAAGCCAATGACCATACCCTCTGACTAAGGAATGAGCTTCTGACTCCTCTCCCTACTCCACTTATAGGGATTGACCCCCCAATAACCAGTTTATACTCCATGATCCAGTTCCTACAGTCATCGTTCATTAGACCAGGGGTAGACAACTGATCTAAGCTGGGCCAGATTCTCTTTCCCAGGCATTTGGAAATGGGGCTAAGAGTTAAATTAGCCTCTTTGGATGGCTAGAACTATTATGTAAACTTGAGAGTTCTGCGATGGCCATATTCTGCTTTGTAGCCTAAATAACTGGGGAAATCCTATCTGCTGAGTCACCTCAAACCTTGGTCAACATTCTTTTCTTGGATTATAGTATCCAATCTCCTGGCTGTAAATACTATGTGCATGTAAGTATATAAATATTGCTTCCAAAATTTTTATTTCCAGTTCTGACCTTCATTTTTGTACAACTTCTTGTCTTCTAAACATTTCCACTTGCATGACTGCTAAATATCTCAGACTCCCTTGCTTCACACAAGAATTTTAACTTCTCTCTCAAATCTCATCTTCCAGGCCTTCTCTGTCTCCATAAATGGCATTACCATCCTACTAGTTCCTAAAGTTTCTTTTTTTCATTTTGCAGTTGTTTTTCCCACCTTTTAAAAATGTTAATTTTTTCAACTTAAGTATAGTCAGTTTACAATTTTGTGTCAATTTCTGGTGTACAGATAATGTTTCAGTTCCTAAAGTCTTCATTTCCTCCTTTCTGCTATCCATTAGCAAATCCTTCAGGTATCTCCTGAAAAACATATCACCCTGTTTTCAAGGTCACTATTATAAATCAAGCCACCAGTGTCTCTTACCTCAACAACTACTACTAAAACAGCTATAATGTTTGCCTAACGCTCTCCCTGTTTCCCTCTCTCCATCCCCCTCCCATCGATTCTCCCTAAATCATCCACAGTGCTCTTTATAAAAACAACCCAGGTCATAGCATTTTCTGTTTAAAATTCTCCAACAGCTTTCCTCTACATTTAAAATAAAATCTAAACTCCTTACCGTGGTCAGTGTGGCTCTGCAGGATCTGACCTTCTTGTTTTCTCAGATCATACTTTGTATTTCTTCTCTTGCAGCAAATACCACTCTTTGACACCAGCCTCCTCTCTGCTCCTGAAACCATCAGGTTCTTCTTGCCTCAGGGCCTCTGTACATGGCTGGAATGTTCTTTCCCTTGCTCTGCACATGGCTAGTTCCTTCTTATCCTTGAGTCTCTCAGCATCTTTTCATCTGCCAAGAGGAATTTCTCTGACTTCATAACTATAATGAGCATTTCCTCAGTTATGCTCTATCATGTCACCCTGCTTATTTCACTGGTAAATAACATTCTACCATACTCAGAAACTACCTTCAGTTATTTGTACTTTTTAATTGTCTTTTCTCACTAAAATATAATGACTTCAAAAGCAGAAAATTGGTTTATCTCATTTACCTCTAGAGTTCCCAGCACTTGAACAACTCCTAGAATGTAGTAGGCACCTAATAAATATATATTGAATAAATTATTCATTGATGAATGAATACACAAATCAAGAGACAGAATAATAGTGAATGGCTAAGATGAGTTAAAAGTTCTGAAAGCTTTCTGTCCCTGATTTTGGTCTTTTCCAAGGCCTGTCTCCGTCCCTGCTCTTAGGTTCTATAGGAGAGTACTATGTCCTATCCAACAAATTCCCCCTTTTGCTGAAGTTAGCTTGACTTGTCAACCGAAGAAGCTTGTTCACAAGCTTATTTTGAACAGAGAAATATAAAGAAGGTAAAAAGCATGGTAGAGAAATTCTGTCACTGGGAGACAACATTAACATTTTGTTGATCTACTTTCCAGACAATTTAACTTGAATTGAGTCATTCGTATTCTATTCTGTAATGTTTCATTTTTTTTAAACCACCGTAAGTGGAGAGCATCTTTCCAATGATGTAATTTTAAAAGGATCTATGCAGACTTCTACATTAAGGAAGCTGATAATCACCCAAAAGTTGAAATGCTTTCACGTTAGAAATAGTCCTAGGATTAGAACAGAATGGAAGCAACCAAGGAAATCATGCTGTTTTAAAGTAAATCTTCACACTGATGTAGCTTTTGTAGGTTTGCTAGGTTACCCCATTTTCTTAGCCTCCTACTGTAGGGAAGTAAGGGAAAGGGAAGGGAGGGGTGAGTACATCATAGGCCTCATCCTCTAGACCCGTAACCATTTGCAAAAAAATGGAGCTGTAGTGGAGGAGGAGATGCTGTGGTTCTTTAATATCTGGACCCAGAAAAGACCGTTCTGGTTTATGACCATTCCAAAATACACCACCATGGAGGGGGTGGGTATAGCTCAGCGGTAAAGTGCATGCTTAGCCTCCACAAGGTCCTGAGCTCAATCGCCAGTACCTCCATTAAAACTAACTAAATAAATAAAGTTAGATTTACCTTAAAAAAAAAAAAAAGAAATGAACAAAATACACCACCGAAGCTGTATAGCACTGTGGAGCAACTGGAAAGCACCACTAAAAGTGGTCAAAGAAGCGCTAAGAATGAAATGAAGGGTACCAGAATGCCAGAAAAGAAAACTCAGGAAGGAAAGACTGTCAGAGAAAATGTGATGAAGGGACATCCAAATGCAATGAAGTGGCCAGACTGAATCTCTCAGGAAAAAAGGAGTGGAGAGTAGATGTAAGTAAGAAGAATATATCAATTGCTTTGCCCTCAAGGAAATGAAAGACTAAAGAATTCCATTGCAGTGGTACTCAGAATTGCACTGGACTAGGGCTGTAAAGAACAACCCTCTAGTAGTGATAGATGAATAAAGCCAGCGTGATGACATCAGGAATTAAAATTACAAAGCCAGCTCTCCTTTCTCCAATTTGACACTCACCTCGATTAAACTTGGAGCGAATGAACTGTAAATAGTGTCTGTGGTCAAGAGCCCAGAATAAGAAAGACACGGATTCACATTCTTCTTTTGTTTTGTGACCACGGGCAAGTTACTTAAGCACTCTGCTTAGTTTCCTTACCTGTAAAATAGGGATGAAATAGTTACCTCATATGATTATGATGAGGATCAATTGAAATAATACCTATAAAAAGCTTTCATAATGCTTGGCACTTAGCACAGGCTCCATATGAGCTATATCATAGCTGTTTTTGTTGTTTTTGCTGAACTACTCTCTGGCCAATTGATAATTCTATTGTATTTACCAGTATAGCTTAATGATTTACATTATGATATAGATCATATATATTATATATATAACTTTCTTGTGTATTGATTATTATGAGTCAGTTCCCTATAGTATTTATACATCATGTGTGTTCACTAGTCTGTAAGTCCTTTGGAGGATATCTTTATATATATAACACCCGAGTGCCTGATAATCTGCAGATACACAATCATTTCCAATCAATTTCTTATTATCACATTGGATTGTGGCAGAAATTATTTTCCTTTTTAGAATTGCTTGTAATAATTTTACAAGGTTTTGAACTAATTGTCCTCCACCCCCCCAAGAACACTGTGAAGTGACAGCAATGATGATGTCACTGATTTGAGTAGGAGAGAGAAAGAAGAAATAATTTAAAATCAAGTGAAACATCTGCTCAAAGGAATGTTAGTAGCATTTCCGTAGAGCATAGGAAATGATGCTGCAAAAAATATTCTGATCCTCTAAAAATTCATGGATTAAGTGGGCCTATGTGACAAAACATAAAAGTAGGGTTTTAACAATGCGAATTTAATATAGATTGGGAATTCAGGTCTTCCCATTACATAAGAAATTAACAGGCCCAATAAACAGTCAAGTTCCTGAAGAGGGGCTGCAGCTATGCTCCTTTGAGTTGAAGGTCTGGGGGAAGGAAGGGACAAAATTGTGAATAGACTCTAAAGAAAATAGTTTTGCAGCGAGTGAGGGAATTCTGAAGGAGCTGATCTTACGTAAGAGGACAGAATCAAAAGAGATGAAAGCATTGAGAAAGTAACTTGGAGACGCTATGAAGAAAAGTGTAGGCTCTGTAATTGAAGCGTCGGTTGCATGAATGCTCAGAAAAGATGACAGGAACTTCTGGAATTTGGACTGAACTTTGACCAGTATTACTGTGTGCCCATTTTGTACAGTTGCTACAAGGAGAAGAAAAATAAAGCCCTTGCTCTTAAGAAGTGAATAACTAATGAGAAGAGGAGAAATGAGAAAAGCACACTCTGAATGGTAAGGTAAGATATAAAAAGCCTGTCAAAAGCGGGAGAGGACAGCTCAGTGGTAGAGTGCATGCTTAGCACACACAGCATGCATGAGGTCCTGGGTTCAATCCCCAGGACCTCCATTAAAGTAACTAACTAAACAAATAAATAAATAAAACCTAATTAACCCCCTCTAAAAAAACCCCCACATTTAAAAGTCAATCAGAGAAGAACAAAGCAAAATGAGAGTGTGAAGGAAGACTGCAATTCACACATACTTGAAGGATCAGGTAAAGCTTTATGGAGGGAGGGTTGTTGGAGTCCGGGAGGGATTTTGGCAGGTGGAGATATGGAGGAGTGGTCTATACAGCGAGGACAGTTTGAATAGAGTCAGGGATAGGCAAAGAGCAGGTAGTCTCTGACAGCAGCAAGTAGGCATGACAAGTCTGAGAAAGAGAGCTGTGAAAATTGAAGTGAAAGGAAGCATATTTTGAAA